TCTCCCGAAGAGATTGAAGGCTGCCCAACCATTTCCATCCTCCTGACTTCTAATGCTGCACGCGGGTGCGCATGCCGATTGTCTAAACAGTCATCTGCTTTATGCAAGACCGTTTATTTAGGACCGTTCCCTGATTCATCACTTCGATGCTGCGAGAGTTGCTGTCGTGGCCCGTTAAGGTTATGTGCATTATTGACCGAAAATTAATATCTACTATATGCCCGGACTACCTAATGCCGTAGATCCGTGCCTACGGCTGCCGATCAGTTCGTCTGACCTAGTCATATTCGTTACCGCTGCGTTATAGCCGGGCGCGAACAGATGATTTACCCTGGTTGGGAACAGGGCATTGGGAGAGGGTTTTACGATACCGCTAATTACAAAATTCAAGCTGCTTGATTAACCCATTATCTTTATCTGGCGCTCCACATGGCAGTCGCATTTTCTCGTCTATAAGGCCTTAACACCATTTAAATTATCTTCAAAATCTCGTAGCTCTCTGGATATACAGTTAAGTCCTCGTGAAAAGTACACCATGCAGGGGAAGGGAGGAAAGAGCCCCTCAGTTCCTGCTGGATTTTCGGTGTCATCCACAGTGCTGCTTATCCAAAGACGGTGAAATCAAATCAGACCTAACGTCTCGTATATACGACCGTGTTCTAACGTGAATTACTCAGATAGATAGGCAATACTAGGCGATACTCTCTGCCTATACTGCCAGCTGCTACAGCTGTCAGGGCCTCTGTCCAAACCCCAGGCGGAGCAGGACAGATGAGTTCCGTTAGCGGTCAGATGAACGTTCGTCAAAGAATATCAATATCCCCCGACCTAAACCGGCAAGAAAACGAGCTCGTGGCTCAATGGTTAGGGCGTTTGAATCTGAGAAAAAAAGTCGCGAGTTCGAGACTCGGTTGGGACGCCACTTGGGCCTGAGTATGACTGGCTGAAGACGGCTAATAATCCAGAAATGGCCATTTCATTCTCCTTTGTCTTTGCCGGCAATACTATTTGACCATAGGCAATACTGTTGGCCAGCACGTTAAGCAGCGAATATAGCCATCCTCCATTGAGGATAAGACAGTAATCAGTGGACCATTATTATAAAAGGTCGGCTGACAATGGCAAGTAAGTATGCGTAAGCAGCTTTCTTCATTTGTTAACCAGCAAATTTTCTCATAGTTAGACCTTCGGATGTCGGCAAATAAATTTTTAAAAAATTGTGAGGCATGTGTGGTCTAAACACCACGACCTTTCGTCGATGCTAAATTTTGCTCAAGAGCTTAGTTGCTGTTAACATGAAAATTCGTGGTGATTTCGCCGTAGTACATGATCCGAGACACCAGAAGGTACTAATTGATGCCACGAACAAGATGTACCTCAAAAGGTCAGTGTTACTTCTAAAGCGAAAAATAGCTTGCCATCTCTCTTGAACGTTCTGCACAAAGGCAAGGTGCCTCCATCCAGCGACCTCTTTATTCGGAGTCTAGTACGGAGAAGCGATACCAAATTCAATGAACTTCGTTCGATGGAAAATAAATTAAGTTCATAAAAAAATGTTTAAATAATCTAATGTTTGGCACCAATGTTTGGTGCGTCGTAAATCAAGAGAGAAATTAAACCTACTAACTTAAGTTTTATCTTAGATTTAGAGTTCATTTTAGTTAAGTTACTTTAGTTTACCTTTGTTTCGTTGGTTTAGTTAGGTTCCAGTTTAGTCTTTAGTTTAGGTTTACTAGCCACATGCGGCTGCTTTTTGAGTTAAAATCTTTGCCAGTTTACCTTATCTTAGTTTAGTTATTTTGGCTTTTTTAACATATCGATATTTTAGTTAAGTTTTTAGTTCTTTCTTAAGTTTTATTAGTATTATTTTAGTTTGGTTAGTTTAGATTAGTTTAGTTTACCTTTTTTTAGCTAGTTTACTTTAGTTTCAGTCTACTTTATAGTTTAGTTTTAAGTGTATTAGCTACATGCGATTTTTGTTTTATTTTTTTACTTCACTCTACTATAATTTCGGAAATTCTTAGTTCTTTGCTTTCTTCCGCAAAGTTGAGCAGTGCCCGATAGTTGCGTGGTTAAACATTTAATTGTGGTGTGCTTTTTGTTGTCAAACATTAGATTATTTAAATAATCAGTCCTTTTTTGTCTACTTTTATACAGCCTTCTTTGTTATTTACATGTTCTTACCTCTGCAATGCCCAAACCGTTTAATCTTCCTTACCACTGTTCTTGTATTATACAAGGATGGGGTTTTGGCGTGATGGTTGGGGACCTAAATTTCACGTCCACCCTTTGTTATAATCTAATGAAAGATGGACTTAATACACCACCGGAATATCCTGTTGACGGAATCGACGAAGGGCCAAATTTCCTCAAACACAGGCTGCAGGTTGTTAGGTAGCCAGCAGATACCTTGTTTAGCATACAAGTTTTATGGATGCAAGGGCACCAGACGCAAACAAAGAAAGCTGGCAATTTGTTCTGTCGAACACACGCAAAATTGGCTCGTGAGAAAGGAAAAGGCGAAGTCTATAAATTCAGCTAGAAAACACCTGTGGGACCTAGACAAACCGGGGATCCATTATTTATGTTTGTGGTTTTCTACCGCGCAAAAACAGCCAGCCTCCTTTGTTGCTCGGGCCCATGTTAATAAGCACTTGGAAACTGCGATTAAAATGGCCTTCCGCTTGCGCCCTTTCCTCCTCTCTCCAAGAACCATAGCCATGCTCTCTAACTAAAATTCGATATTGTCCATTTTTTGCCTCCTTTAAGTTGCTCCAGGCTCTTTCCCATATCCCCAATTAACAGATATGCAAAGTTTTGTGAAGTTGCATGCTATCATTAAATCGGGATGTGTTGAAAGGTCTATCTTGTTCATCTGCATGCATAAGTGAATATCAGGATTTGATGGCCGCTTCGATACCCTAATGCACCCACTAATGGAAACTTATGGATATCACAGTCACAGTGTATCACATTTTAGTATCGAATTATCCGCAAGAAAGATTGGGCGAAGATGCTTCTGCCCGCTTACATGTAATGATATACCTAGTTATTAATTGCAATCGAAAAAGTGCATTTAAAGTACTGGAATTACCGTTTTCTAAAATCCTCAATACGATTTTCCCTTGCACTTTTTCGACGAATTTAGTGCTCTTTAAAAACATTTAACGTCTATTCCGGAGCGATATATTCAGAATTTAAGTCCGTTGAAACGGGCAGTCGAAGTGTCATACGAAAGGACTGGGGCTTGTTCAAGGTGATACTTACATCTTCGCGTTTTCAGGGGAAAAATGTATCCCAACAGGTGGCACGTAACTTTCAAGGGGACGCTTTAGCGTAACCAGAGGGAACCATGGTTGTAGCGGTGCTGCTGTTAAACCCGAGCAACTGCGATCTTCAGACCATGGTTACTTAGTTGAGGAGAAGTCAGTGGAGGCCAGAATAGAAGGAATAGTTTATTGTGTACACA